GGGTTTCACAAGGTAGTTCAGTGATGCATTTACATGCGCTGGAGCTGTGGGTTTAACCTTGCCCCTCTGTGGGAGGTGTGAGCACTGTGGGTGTCTGGGGGCTCACTGCTGGCCTCATAGATGTCACCCTTGGAGTGGGTGATTAAGTGACAGCTTGGTTTTAGCCAGCACCCTGCTCTGAGGATTGCCAGGAGCAGCTGGGTGACCTCTACTAATAAAGTGTTGCCTTGTATTAGTTTGTAAACTTGTTACTTTTAATTCCTTAAATATAAAGCTGCCTCTTCTGTGAGCAAAACATTCTCTCTAGATCTTTCTCCCTCCTGTTATATCATCATATATTTGCTATTTTCTTTACTTTCCTGAAACCATAAACCGTTCCAGCTTCGTTTGGAAGAAGTGGTGCCTTGTTTTACCTTCCTGCATGTAGTGTTTGAAAATGGAGTGTTGAAGGCTGAAGAGTGTTTCAAGTGAGCAGTGCTGTGCTGAGTTATGCAATGATGTTACAGCATTTCAGCACTGAAATCCTCCCCAAAGCAGCTCACCATAGGGTCAAGAAACCAAAGTGCCAGCTTTTCAAGCGGAGAGATCTTGCTTTGTAGGGACACTGAATCCCTTCTGGGTTGGGCTAGTGCAGAGCCTAACAAGCAGAAGTGTTCAAGTTGTTTGGTGTGGTGGGATTTGCCTTGAAGCTGCCCATAAGGAAGCTCCCTTGTTCCTGCTCTGCAGTCGCTGGTTCTCAGCCCCTTCTAGCGGGGGAAGGAGGAGGCTGCAGGCTGAGTCTCAAGTGCGGTGACACCCAGCCTGGATATCATCACTCTGATTAAATGCCCCTGAGGCTGGAGCACCACAAACCTAACAGGCTACTCGGAGTTGTGGCTCCCCTGTGACTCCTTGACCAAGTCCTTCAGCACAAAGCTCAACAATATGTTGTGATATTAGAAATCGAGTAAACTTCTGATTTTCCACTTCTCCCTGCATGACTGCTTGAGCCCTTCTCGAAGGATGAAAACAGCTTGGCAGCACCATCAGATTTCCCATCCTGTAGTTGGGATGGGCTCCCTGTGAGGAGTGTCTGGAGTGTTCCCCTTTCCTTCACCATGGGACAGTGCAGCAGTAAGTAAAGGGACCAGTGAATAGCAACTGGAACAAGCACCAAATAGAGAAATGAGGAATATCAGAGACTAGTAAAGGCATGTAGAAAAGGAAGCAGATGTGGTTAATGGTGAATGGTGGTGTGATGCAGAGCACTGTGTGACATCCCTGGCCACAGAAGGTCTCCAGGGAGCACAAGTGGTGTCATCATGGCACACTGATGTCTGTGTCCCTTCGGTGGCAATTGACATAACAGGTTAGACCCCACATTTGAAAGAGAACGATCTAAGAAAGGGCACATCCACCAGAAGGAGGAATTGTGCTGTCACTAGAGTACTTGAGAAGAAATTGCTATGATGTATGGTCCCATCAAACCAAATACGCTTGTGCCAATGGTGAGGTTTGATTTATTAATTGCTTTGTATAGTGTGTCATATGCTGACTTATATCTGCTTGGGTTGCAGAGTGAAATTTAGGCCTGTTCATCTCACTGAGTATGTGGACTGCACCTTGACAGTATGTGCTGTTTCTAAACATTCTGTCACAGGCTTTCAGATCTCAGAAATCTTGGTCAAATCTTAGGATGAAAGAATCCAGAGGTTATTTTAGTATCAGGGTACTGAAGGCAAAGCTGAGTTATCCTCGTGTAAATGGGATATGTATTTTTCTCTTGCTCTAGAGGGAGCCTTCAGAGAGTCTTGTCCTCTTGCTGAGTAGTTCAGGAGATGCTTCCATAACTTCCATGGAAAGCTGCTGCGAGGGCATTTTGGCTGCCTACGTGTTTTGTAGGTTACACATTTCAGAGCATTTAATTAGGAGTGTGGAGTCCTTTTCAAATATTCCCTTTTACCTCTTTTATAGATCCTAGCATGGGGAAGAAGGCCCAGAGTATCCAGAACAGTACTGACCTCGCAGTCAGGACACTGAGCATCAGTGCACCAGAGTTACTTGATTGACACTTTCATCTGGGCACAAAACCCAGGACTGAAGTCTGTGTGCTTTGAGATCAAACTTGATGTTCTGATCAGAAAAGTCATGGAAGGTACCACTTTGAAAGTGCCTTTTCTAAGTGGAATAAAACTTCATAAATTGTGCACTGCTGAACAAGAAGAACACTGCCAAGTGCAGAAGTGCTCATGGTTATAAGAGAATCAATTAGGGCATGTTGATGAATAATGCATGTGCAGCTTAGGAGAGATGGATGACATCGGTTTTATTTGTGTACTGTTAATTGACAGTGATTCTAGGACAGAAAAAAGCACAAAGGGAAGATGGGGAGATTCTGGTCATAGTGTAAGAAGCTGGAGGCTCATCAACAATGCTTCCTGTCCATTAAGCTGTAAAAATCTCAGGAAGAGGAATTGTACTTATGTCCTCTACAGCTCCTAATCCATGTAACTGATACTACCCAAGAACCCCATTCAGACTGTAAATGATATGAGCATTTAAAGAGTCAGAAGTTGAAGCCCTTGTTTTGAAATCTGATGGCCTTTCCTGTATTAAGACAATGTCTGCCTTGCTCTTTTGGGATCCAGTTATAGGGCATCAATCAGTCATCTTTATTTATCCCTAGAGGTGTGGCTCTGCTGTTTCTTGGATATATGCAGGGATCTCCAAAGGAGACCCAGTGCAGTGGACTGTTGGAGAAAGCCTGGGACTCAGGTGAGAAATGTTCTGTTGCTGTTCACATATTCCACCCCCACATACTGATCTGCAGGACAAAATCAACTGCTCTTCAGATCTTATGGGTCTCCCCTTGGGTCCATGCACTAGTTGGCTTTGAAAAGACTAAGTGTCAACTCTGAGACTAAAATAACTGATGTAGGCTAGAGCAGGAGCCTGGCAAAGCAGGAGTGCTCCTTGTCCCTTTGCTTTGGTGCTTCCCAACACCCAGCTAAAGGAATTTCCCAATGCTTGGGTGCCTGCCCAGCTCAGGGCAAAATCTGCTGCAGGTGCCTTGTCATATTCAGCTGAGGCACAGGACATGAGGGAAGGGCAGAGGTCACATGTTGTGGTGAGCAACCGGCCACTGGCCTGAGGAACAGTGTTGGTTGTGTGTAGAGCACTTCTGTCGATGGCTGATGTGCGAAAGGCTGCAAAAGCACTTGGGGGTTGTGTAGGTGGCTGCTCCACTGAAGTTATGAGGCAACCACTGATCCCACCTGGAAGATGTCAGACCATTTCTTTGTTTGCTTATTCTAGGAGGAGTCACTGCTACAAATTAATCCCCTACTGGAGATGGTAAAGGACAGCTGGTACCTGTTTAAAGAGCTAGAGCTGTGTGTGATGGGACTTGAGGTTACTTCCTTGAGAAGTAACACCTGAGTTTGCTGCCTCAGTTCTCTCTGGATGGTGTAACTCCAGCCTCAGTGTTGCAAACCAGCAGTCATAACCCACACTCACTGCTTGGATTGAATGTTTTTGGTTGTAGCATCAGTGGGTGTCCTGAGGCTGCTCCACGAGCTGCCTGCTGGGGAAGCGTGGGAGATGTGGAGCTGTGTGAAGGGACGAGCTCTGCAGTGGGACTGTGCAGGCAGCTCCCTGTGCACACCCAGCCCCATGTGTCCACCAGACAACGTGGGTGTCCCACTGCAAAGGTTCATTGGCTGTGAAAGATAGTGGCTGTACATCCACAGAAACCAAGAATAACCGTCTAAGCTTTCTGTTTTAGCTAACTTGCTAGAAATAAGGAGGAGGTGCTTAGCTGCTGGAGTGCTCAGAGGAGTGGCCTGTGAAACAGCCACCCTTAGCCAGGCTGTGCTTGTCCATGTTGCTGTGGTGCAGATGCCTGAAGCATAACAAATTATAATGATGCCATATAGAATAAAAGCCCATAAGGACTCCTTGATGCTCTGCTGGAGGTATTCTGCCTGCTTTAACTTGGACTTGTTCCATTGCTTCTGAGGTCTCCCCTGTGTGACAGGCTGAGGCAGGGAAGGAAAATCTGGACTTTCTTATCAGGTTTAACAGCAGAAAGTCCCGTAGAGGATTTGGATGTGTCTAGATGGGGAGAAGGGTAAAGGCTTACTGTGATCCCTTCATGCCTTTTCCAAGCACTCTATGGCACACTGTAAGATAGCTCTGTGGCCTTTTTTGTTTTGGATCAGCTCTGGCTTCCCTGAAACCCAGGAGGCTCCTGAAGTACTTACAGTTGAGTTACACTGATAATGCTCAGGTTGCCAGTACATATCCAGACCCAGACACCAGTCTTGCACTTGTATTTTTCTTGCTCTGGATATTTGAGCATAGGGGCACCTGACAGGCGCTTTCTCTGCTGGCCTTGTCCTTTTCCTTCCCTGTAACAGACGAACACACAGAGCATGTGCTGCTGTGCTGGCTCAGTGTCCTGGTGTGGTGTCAGCAGAGTGTCCTGGCCAGAACAGGCTATGGACACACTGCGGGACCACAGCCAGCCCATGGAGATGAGCAGTGAGCTCACCTTTTTGTCATCACTCACATCTGAAATGCTGCCTGTGCTTTTGGATACCTCTGGTATATCAGACCTTGAATTTTAAAGAACCTTGAGGAGGCTGCAGAAAGGTTGGGGTTTAGCAGGCTGAAGGAAGTGGGAATGTCGAGAAGGGTTTGGATGTGCTCAGTGATGGCTGCCCAGTCCCTGTGGGCAGGGAATGGAGACAGCAGAGCCAGGATGGTGGCAGGAGAACAGGGAACAGTACTGGTGAATATAAAAATGTGTCCTGTAGCACTAGGTATGAGAAAAAAAGTTCTATCCTGTGCAGAGCCCAGCGCTAGAGCAGGAGCTCGGATGGGTTTTTATGCATGTGGAGGGATTTAACCCTGATGGGCCAAGGCACATCAGCCTAAGCTTCTTACTGTCCCTGCCTTGAGGGCGGCTGGAGGAGAGGCCCCCGAGGCTACCCAGCCTTAATGACCACGGGTCCCTGTGGCTAATTAGCACTTTCCGCGGGCGCTGGGGGGTTGCCCCCTGCAGTCGCTGTCCTCACAGCCGATGGCAGCGGCAGGGACAGCCCGGGCCCCTCATCCCGCTCCAGCCCCGGCACCCCTCGGGCCGGGGGGAACCTTTCTGCGCCCTGCGGAACCTTCGCGGCGGAGGCGCCTGTTGCTGCCCGGGGGACGAGGCGGGCGCTGCGACGGGGGGCGGCCCCGAGCGGCGGCGGAGCCCGAGGAGCGGCGGAGGCGGGAGGAGGCGGCGGGACGGCCGCAGCTCCCGGAGCGGCCGCAGCTCCCGGGGCCGCCGGGCCGCAGCCCCCGCCCGCCGCCCAGGTGAGAGCGCAGCGCTGCGGGGCCGCCGCCACAATGGGAGCGGGCCGGGCAGGGCGCGCCGGCGGAGGCCCGCTCGCCCCGCCGGGGGTGTGCGCGGGGCGCCGCGCGGGCCGCGGTGGGAGCCGAACGGGGGCGGCGGGGGAGCGGCTCCCGCGGTCCGGGGGGCCGGGAGCGCTGCGGGGGTGGGAGGGCGGAGGGGCGGTGCTGCCGGGCCGCCCGGGGGGCGGGTCCCGGTGCGGGGCGAGGAGCCGGGGGCTGCGGGGCTGGGCCCGGGGCTGAGGCTGCACCCGCCACCGGGAGCGGGGCGGCCGGCCCGGAGCTCGCCTGGCCGAGCTTCGGGGCCTGAGCGAGGTTCTGACTGTGGGGGAGCCGTGGGGTGCGCATGCCCCCCGTGGGGTGCCGTGGCTCCCGGTTGTCCGGCCGTGCTGGCAGCGCCGTGCTGAGACGGAAGGGCCTGGCGGTGCCCGGGCACGGTGGTTGCCACGCTCTGCTGCGGCCGAGCGGCAGTGATCTGTGCTACTGGTAAACATGGTCCATGGCACCGGTAAACAGACATGCAAAGTCCTATTTTATTGTCTGTGTGAGACTTGTTCGGGAGCTGTGGAAGGGGAAGGCTCGGTGTGCTGAGCTGGTGCTGCTGATCCTGTTACCTCTCCTCTCCGGATCCTGTCTCACAGCTTTTTAACTTGCTCCCTCTGAGGAGTAGGTTTTGGGTGACTGTATGTTTCAGTGCTCATATTTGAGAGATGCTCATAAGCTCCATTAAAATCCCCTCCTGTCTCTTAGTCTATTGGTACAAAACTGGTGCTTTAAAAAGTTCTTACTGCATCCCTCCAGTCCATGTGCAAGTGGGGGAATTTTGATTTGAAAAAACCCAAGAAAACCCAAACAAACAACAGCAACCAAAAAAACCCTAAATTCAAACCATCAAACAGTAAAAGGAAGTAACTGTTCTTTTTTTCTCTTTTTTTTTCCTTTTTGATTTATTTATTTTTTTGGCTAATGAGATGGTTACATTTGCTTGTCTTTATAACTTTGTTAACATTGGATATCCTTTGTATATGTGGTTATGCAAGCACCATGCTTGGTGAATAATCACTTAGCCTATAGGAAATCACTGCAGAAACTTCTGTTTTGGTTCAAGATGTTCTGCTGCCTGGTTGAAGGTGATAGCTCCTCTTCCTGACTTAGAGTAATGGGCTTTGTGAGTGGTCTCTGTGTGCTTCAATGCAGAATCAATTAATTTAGAATAAACAGGCTTTGTTTAAGTAGCTCTGCTCTAGGAGCAGCAGCACCCAGAAGAAGAATAAAAACAAGACAGTTTGCTCAGACCACTGCAGGTGCTCCTGGGGGGAGCTGGCATGGTTTTGGTTTGCTAAGTGAGGGTTCTTTTCCCAGGTGTGGAGCTGTACACCCTGAATATACAGAGAGAACAATGCAGCTTCTTATCCTGTGCCTTTACAGCATCAGAATGTAGGGGTAGGTTGTTCCTTGAGGGTAGGTGCTGAACATGAAATTTTCGAGAAATATATAGTTGCTGCTTTAAGGAAGAGCTGTTGTGGGTGTGTGACGTTTTCTGCCTCAGAGTAAACACCACCTTCTCCCAAAAAAGCTCTGAATGTTTAGGCACTGGGTTCCACTTGTACTGCACTCAGGTAACTGGTAACTTCTGTGCCTCTTAAATCTGTTGGAATTGCAGATTTGATACCCAAGGCTATTGCAGATCTTGGGTGGGAATCTGTGCTTTTGTGAGGAGATGAACCAAATAGCATGGGTTTTGTCTCCTCTCGATGGGGATTGCATTTTAGTAAAGATTTGAAAGGTAAAACCTGGCATAGTAAATTTGTAACAGGACATTGTGGTGTTCTCTGGGATCCAAGTTGACATTGTGGAATAATTCAGACTGGAAAGGGCCTCAAGAGGTGTCTAGTCCAACCTGCTGCTCAAAGTGTGATGTACACCACGGTCAGACCAGGACTTGGTTCATTCAGATCTTAAACCCTCCAAAGACAAAGGTTTGTCAGTTTCTGTGTCCTTGTTCTGGTGCTAGACTGTCCTGACCAGGAAAGACTTTTTCTCTAGGTCAGGTCACACGTGCACCGTTGCGGTTTGTGTCTGATGTCGTGCTGCGTGCCCCTGTGCACAGACCTCCCTGTAGGTCCAGCAGATCTGCTGTCAGCTCCCCAAAGCCTTTTCTTCTCCAGTCTGGACCTTCCCATCCCCCTCTCTTCACACAGCTCTGTCCCTCTGAGCATCTCCCTCCACCAAACCACTCTTATTTATCATGTGCTGGGGATGCCCAGAACTGCCTGTGGTGTTTCCAGTGGCCCTGAAAAGTGCTGGCTGCCAGGAAGCCATGGTTTCCCTGGATCGGGGTGGCTGTGCTCCTGCTGGTACAGCCCAGTGCCATCACCGTGTGTTGCATTTCCTGTGTGCAGGGATGTATTTGTACACACGTGCTCACCACCGATGTCTCTGTCCCTCCTGCCGCACAGAGAGCCTCGTTCATTTGCACACGTGTGAGTGTAGGTACACACACCTGTCAAATCACACCACCTGCAGCACTGAGCAGTAGTTGTTCCATCCTTTTCCACACATTCCAGTTGTCACTAGTGTGACTCTTGGCTCCCTGGCTCTCTCTCCTAAGTCCTCTGCTGTCACGTGTATCCTGACTTCCCATTTTACAGGTCTGCCTGTTGCATTGCCTTTACTTTTGTTTCTCAAAATTTTGTTATTTCAGACACTTCTTTGAGATGTATCCAAGTTACTGTGGTAGGAGGGGAGTGGCAGACTTTTCCCATGGGGATGGGATTGAATCCCATTTGAACAAACCCAGAATGTAACAATGCAGAAAGTGTGCTTTCAAATATGGTGGTTTGTGGGTGTGAGTTGAATGAAGCAGTTTGGTACAAGGTTTTTAAGAATGTTATTAATTACCATGCAACAATGTTCCTGTAATTTCTCTGAACTTGTTTCCATCAGGTACTTAGAAGTTTTTGGGGGGATATACCCTGTAGGATACATATTCTCTGCTAACAAACTCTCTTATTTTAACCTAATTCTCCAGAACTAAGTGCCTGCAGAGGTTAAGTACTGTTTGCTATTCCTAGATCCTTGGTACAGATATAGTTTTGAGACATATTTTCTGCTTACGCAAAATAATTTCTGCATTATATTTACCTGATTGTTGAGTTAATTACAGCTGAACTTGTTTCAGAGAATGCTCATCTCAAGACAGGAATTTGTGGTGTTTAAACAACATTTTAGCAGTATAAAAATAAGCTATATAAAAATAACTTATAGAGAGCTGGGGTTTCCCCTGCCCCCCAAATGAGTACTTACTGAGTACTTTTGCCAGCACAGAAGACGACTTGTGTAGAATCTGATATTTAGGTAATTTGAAACAATGAATGAAAATTTTGTTTCTTGTTAACTTTTAGAAAGCTCACATTTAATTTCTAGGGCTTTATGCTTACTAAGAAACAATCTTAAAGATGAAGGGGAATGATGAAATAATAAGCAACCATTTGTTGTTTGGGAAAGGGACAGAATTAGCTGATGAAATCAAGGCTCGTTATATACTGAGAGAAGAAAGAAGGTGGAATTACAGGTAGCCATGACAAGGTAAAATTTGTTGAATAGGCCTCTTTAGAATATGAAGTTTCTGAGAATATGGTGATATTGTTTTTTGTTGTTCTGTTTTTTAAAAGTCATCATTTTTTAAAACCAGCTTACTGGTGGCATGGCATTCTAAATAACAGTGAGTTATTGATCAGTCTTTTGTATGTGATAACCAGCAAATGCCAACTGCACATTTGCTGACAAAATTGGTATAACTGAAGTTGAAACAAGCTTTGCAGGGAAAAAAAGGTGAAAAAGTATATATTGCTTTCATTCATGCAGATAGAGAACTGCATAAGAATATCAATAAGATTTGTTACTTTGAAAAATATCTCAAGGATATAGAGATACTTTCTTTTCTATAGAAAATAACCTTTCAGAAATTCTTAAAGGTCAGATATACGATTGACTTAATTTATGCCTGATGTGAAGTAGCAGAATTTGTGTGCAGTCCTGTGAGCAAGGCTGATTCAGTGCTCTTGCAATCCCAGAACAGGTATGGCAATTGAAATCTTGCTCTTACTCAGTGGTAATGCTGGAGCTGGGGTCAGTCTGACACCTCCAAAAATCTTGTGGCATTTCAGAGGTATCTGTGACTCACTTGAAGTGTTACATCCATCACTTTGACCTCATAGCAGCATTTTTAGCATGCTCTAAAACCTGCAAGTAGGAGCAGTGATTTGAAGCCCTCTGGGGTAGCCTGTCAGCTTGTCCCAAAAGCTGCTGTTCTGAGACTGTATCTGCAAGTTGAAATGCACAAAGAAAGAAAAGAAGGATGATCCAAGTTTGGTATTAGTGACAGTCAGTTATTCAAGCATAGGAGAAGATGTAAAGGCTGGTAGGCACTTGTCTGGAGGAAGTATTGATCCTGTGCTGGGGAAAAGTGCTGAATAACTTCATGACTGAAGATCTCATTCAAAGGTGCAGAAATCTTTAGAGGAAGACTGTTAGCCAGGTGCTTTGAAACCAGGCTGAAGAAATCTGTTAGATACAATCAGTGCAGCTTGTGGTATAAACACGGAGTCCAGCATTCAAACCATACGAACACTGCCCTCTACTACTGCCCTAAATCCTACGAGGAATTTCTGAGCTGCAAAGAGCAGTTACCATTTACTTCTTGGACCTATTTGAAACAGAGGAGAGCTGATGAGGTGAACTGGCTCCTTGCTGGTATGACTTGAGTTACTCCCTCCTCCATCTCCCATACACGTGCACACACAATGGTACTGGTAGGAGCTAGACAAGAATTAAGCATATTAACAAAATTTCTCTTCTGTCACTGTAACTGTTTCTGTGCTGTTGAACCTTTGATGGCAGATAAGTAGAAAACCAGAGGTGGAACAGCTCAACATGCCCACGTGCTTTCTTGGGTAACAAATACATTGAAACTTAGGCTGAACCAGGAGGACTTTGGTCGAGTCAAGTGCAAAACAACATTCTTTATATAAGAGAGGCACTAAACTTATAAAAGCAATTAAAGGGGTTTTGTAGTGATTTGGCAGAAAACTTTACTTTAGTGTTCTCTGTGGCAAACCAGCTTGATCTAATTAACAAAAAGTGGAGCTATACAAGGGCAGAATTGACCAACAGAAAGTGCAGAACCTGTGGCTGGTTGGGTACAAAGAGTTTGTAAGGAAAAACACATGATGGAAGTAACTTAATTTTGACTTGTACTTTGTTCTCTTCACAGTGAAAATTTTTATCTAAAATTCTTGTGAAGAGAACTTTTCTAGCCCAACTGTGGAAATGCCATTTTAGAGACATGGCAATTCACTAAAGATTTTCTCCAGTTTCTCGAGTCTTACCCAGAACATCAGCATCAATGAAGTGTGGGTTATTGTATTTGGATTGTTGAATCCAGAATAAATAGATTGTTAAAATATATTGATCTTTTGTGAATTTCTCTAGC